GAAACAGTAGGGATAACCTTAGAATATGTCCAAAATACCCATGTAACTATTATTGAGGTTAATTTATACATAAAACACAATATAAATGTAATGAACAACAAAAAAAGAGTTTATAGTTGCAATTTTACCTTTGAGCAATTGATATGAAGGACAAATTTGGAAAAAGATATTAGAAGGGATTGGGATAGTGATTGACATGAAGAAAAAATTTGAAAAATAAACATTTTGGTTAAAAGTAATTACATGGGTATTTTGGACATTTTTGTGCTTTTTGTTAGAAGATTCTAACAGAGGTCTACTTGCAACTATGCCAAAAAGTTCATGGGAGTTGATTGCATTTACCAAACTTGTGGGGGGGTCAGCAATGATCAAAAATTTTACAGGTGGTTTTAGCAGTTTACCCTTTCATTTATTTAAATTAAAAAAAAAAATCTAAAAGTACATCTTATGTTCTCAATAGCCAATGATGGGCCACATTAACCACCATGAAGAGACTTCCAACTTTCAAATGAATGAGTAATTTATTTTTTAAACTATTTTCTTATTTTTTAAAATATTTTTAACTTATTTTCATTGGTTCAGTTATTGATCATTAAGGTAGCATACGGTTTTATCTTCTTTATTCCCACCATATGGTGGGTTAATTTTTCATTTCCGTTACCTTAAAACCCACGTCATTGGATGGAAAGATATCTGCAAGAGTAAGTGATATTTTTATAGCAATTCATTGTAAGGTTTTCAGCAGTTAAAGGAGCTAAAATTGGATTTATCATATAGAAGTTATTTATTGCAAAGGTAGCGAGAATTCAAATAAAATTTTGACGAATGTAACTGATAGAAATTATTAATTTTATTAATGAGCCATAATAAATAAAGAATAATAAGAATTTTATTAATGATAAAATAAGAATAATAAGAATTTTATTAATTCTCGTTTCCTTTGCAAGAATTTTATTTCAGCATATATTTATATTAATGAACCATAATAAATGTGATAAATAAGAATAATTTTTATAGATGTAGAAATATAAAAAAATTACAAAAAAATTGGAAATATATTATACACTATCATCATCACAAATTTTGTCATATGAAAAGCACGTACACAAATAGTAGTATTTATATATGTATACATAATTATACTACATATATACATAAAATAATATTTTTATTGAACTCGAATTGTAATCAATTAGATGGGGTTAAAATCCATTTATTAATCGGATGCAAGTTTTAACATCCAAATTTATGATAATCAGATTTGGAATCAAATCGAGCATTGGACTTTCGGAATCCATGCACAGCCCTATACATAATTAGTTTCCTCAAACCTCAGGGTATATATAAATAATTATCCTTATTCTTCTAGTACCATTTATTTTTGTTATCATAGATATTTTTCCTTCTTATTTATAATATTTTATAAAAATAACTTTTTTCAAAATTTCAAAATTTTCTCTCAGGACCTCTAAATATCAAACCTTAGGTATAGATGGTGGATCGTCAGATTGATCCGATTTTGAATTCGTTTGTGACTGAGCACAGGTCTAGTCCAGGATCATACTGGGCCTTTAAACATCAAATCTTTCTTGTAAGAGTGATAAGCCTCTGGTGGTTATTAAAGGGCTGAAGCCCATGGGAAACTCTCAACTCTGGTTCCCAATTCTATCATCTGGGAGAGGCTTAGAGCGAAAGCCCAAAAAGATTCAGGCCTACAAATCTTGGAACATTCTAGGAAAATCATGGAGAAGGTTGGGTTAAGAAGTTTAAATCAAGGGAGGAACAAAAAAGTGGTGTATGCACTTAAAATGTGTAGGAATTCTAAGAAGACAAGGAGAGAGAAAAATGGCATCAAAAAATGAAAAAAGTTGGCTGTTGAATAGGGGTGGCAATGAGCCGAGCTTTCTACGAGCTGCTCGAGCTCGGCTCGGTTTCAGCCAAGCTTGAGCCCAGTTCAGTGGCTTGATTATTAAACGAGCCAAGCTCTCTCTCTCTCTCTCTCTCTCTCTCTCTCTCTATATATATATATATATATATATATTAGAAAATAATATATAATAAAAATATTATANATTATAATTATTAATTATTATAATTCTTAATTTTTTAAATATAAAATAAAATTTTTTATATATGATTTTTTTTATAAAATATTTTTTCTAAATATTGTTATAATAAAATATTTATAAAGTATATCATAAAATATTTTTTATAAAATATAAAATGAGCCGAGCTCAAGCTTATGAACTTTTGACTAGAGCCGAGCTCGAGCTCATGGTTCTAGCTCGAGCCTGGTACTATTCGGCTCGGCTCAGCTCGAATGCACCCCTAGTGTTGAAGGCTTGGCATCTAGGTGGTCTATTCTAATTTTGAAGCTATTAGCAGTTCATACTTTAGAGAGTAGGGAGGGGAAGAGCCTATCCTATTGGATTAGTCAGAAGGTCCCCAGTTTAGTCAAAAAGATTTGGAGGAGCTTTAGGCCTTTAGCCTGAACTTGAAGACACTGGATTTCCTACCCACACTCTAGCTACCCGCCTTAAATTGCAGACACACATTTGTAGCTGCAGTGTACTGTAGGTAAGAAATGGGTAGAGAAAGTGAGTAGTAAATCTGGGTTCGAACTTGAAGCGTTTGACTTCTTTAGAGAGAGGTCAGTGGAGGGCAGATTTGCAAATGTACACAGTTTTACATTCACAGGAGGAGAAGAATATGATAAAGAAATGTTTAGGGTTCTGGTTGCTTTGTGGACTTTGAGAGGGAGAAAGTCAATAAATGAGATTTTAGTTTTCATTGACCAAGATACCCATATTCTTTTTTGAGATTTATGTGAAAATTTATTTTTTCTTGGTGTAAGTGATACCTATCTCTCATGTGGATAAATAACTTTTTTGGATAAATATAGATTTCCGAAAAACAAATGAGGCCTTAATATTTCATAATAGGAATCAGTGTGGAGATGATGTAGAGGGGATTGGTGAATCTATATGTGGATAAAGTGGTTGAAGTAAGATTTCCAAGTGGTGTGGTAGGTAGGGGTGCTAACCGAACCATGGGGCTATTTTTGAAACTGAACTGGGGTTACCGGTTTTTGGAAAACTAGTAACTAAAACCAAACCGAAGCCAATCAATTAACCATCGGTTTGGTTCATTAGTTTTCGGTTTTTTATATTTACAATATATTATAAAAAATATATAAATACACTTCTTGCTTCAACTTCTATCAATTAGTGCATGCCCGTGCTCACACTGATCCAACATCCACTTACACCCTTGTATTGGGAATATCTCCCAATGAATAAAGTACACAAGTACGAAGATATTCCCAATGCGAGGCTGTAAAGACTGTTTGAAATGGCATTTCATTGATTGAAGCCAAACTCTTTCCGAGTCATAAATGAAGCCTAATTCCTATTCAACGGATGAATATGGATAGGATCTTATTGATAAAGGAAATACTTGCCCAGATAAATATAGGCCATGTGTGGTTCACTGCTTTGGGCTTCATTCTTTTAATGCATGCTCATTCTAGGCAAGAATGAACAAGAATGAATAATATTCCGATGTGTTTGGTTTGAAGGAAAAAGTAGGGAAAGGAAGGGGAAAGGTAAGGAAACTTTCACAAACCTTGTATATGTTTCCCTACTTTTCCCTTCCTTTCCCTACCTTTTCCTTCAAGCCAAACATAGCATTAGAGTGTTTGGTTACAAAATTCTTGCCATGGGACACATTCTTTTTAGAATGAAAAATCAGCCCCATAGCACAAAAATTGAGTAGCTTATAGCATGAAAAATAATTATGCCCCATCTTGCTCATTTTTATTCTTTGAGGCCAACAAAATTGTTGCCATAGATGTTTACTTTTGTGAAAGCACTTTTATAGAAGTATTTTTACATAAAAGCACTTTTACTAAATCACTTTGCCTACAAAACCGTTGCTATAGATGTTTACTTTTGCGGAAACACTTTTACAAAAGTACCTTTGCGAAAGCACTTTTGTAAAAGTACTTATACATGAAATCACAACACTTACGAAAGTACTTTTATAAAAGCACTTTTATGAAAGCAATTTTACAAAAGCACTTTTACGAAAGCACTTTTATAAAATCACTTTTACAAAAGTACTTTTATGAAAACACTTTTACAAGAGTACTTTTATAAATGCACTTTTATAGAAATACTTTTACAAAAGCACTTTTATGAAAGATCTCTTATAAAAGCACTTTTACAAAATTAATTTTATAAAAACACTTTTATGAAATTATTTTTATAAAAGCACTTTTAGAAAGAACTTTTATAAAGCACTTTTACGAAAGTACTTTTACAAAACATCTATGCAAGCTGGTAAACATTGACGGTTGGAGACCTACGCTGGTAGTTTATGAATACCAGCACTTTTTTTTTTTTGAAGAATGGAAATGAGCAACATAAGACACTTGTCAATCTGAAGAAAAAAAAAATCATTTATAGGAAAAAGAGGGTGTTTGGTTCAATATTTTATCATTCTGCCTATTTTTACCCATTATTATTTATTTTAAAATTTTATATTGAATAAGAATGAAAAAGAATGAGAATGGAGCCACACATGGCCATATTTATCCGCATAAATGACTTATCAGGAAGCGAACGAGGCCTAATTCCTACTCACGGATGACAATGGGTAAGATCCGAATGGATAGATCCGTAAGCGTCTTGCATTTTGCGGCCCTACCTCCAATCCATTCTCCGATTTGCTCCACGTTTGGCTACATGTGAATCCTTGCCCTGCGTATCTATGACCCAGCCGCCTTGTCCCGCTTGTGACGGTACGCGGACTCGGATTCGAGCGTCCGCCGCTCAGTACACAGTTAGTCAGTTACACACAGCTGGAGTCATTTTCCTATTTTCCTACTCTCTCATATCCTCACGCGCGCGAGGGTCAGACTTCAGAAGCGTGTAAAGCATGGGGTTTTTATGGGATCCCTTGGTTGCGAGTTGCGACACTGATACCCACTACTAAAATTGTGTCGTGGTTGGCCAGTCAGCCTCGGTTCGGTCAGTCTCATAACAAGAGTCAAGAGAGAGGGGTTCCATAAATCCATCCTTGTCGGTGGGGTCTCGTCCACTTGGTCCGTCTTCTAATTCTGCAAACTGCAACCGGCCAGCCCAAGCCCAAACTCCTCTCTTTACTATTTATTCGCTCTCTTCCTCTGTTTTCTGAGTGCTGTCGCAACATTCCATATTTCCATTCCCACTCGTTATTCATAACTCACAGTTCTCTGTCTGCTGAACCCTTCCACCACCGGAATACATCAACAATGGCAGAATCGTCGACGTCGGCCCAACGAGCAACCCTCTTCTCTCCTTACAACATGGGGAAATTCAACCTCTCCCACAGGTTAGTTCGTCTCCAAGATTTNCATCCACTGAGATCTCACGGTGCTTTGCTGCAACCGCCCGATCTCTTCAGCTGACCTTGCTCCGGCTTTCCCTTTTTGGTGCCCTCGTTCCCTAACGAAGAAGGAGTGTTTTGGCTTATGGTTATTGTGAAAAGAAACAACCAAATTAATAGCCCCAAAAGTCCCACTTTTCCGGCAGTCGGAAAATCCGGGTCTGAAATCTGATTTCACAAAATACTCTGGTTTTAGAAATTTAGGAGGAAATTATCTATGTATGTTCTTCTTCATTTGTTGATTTCCCCTTACTTTTCTCAAATATTACCGTGTTTTGGAGTGGTGCAGGGTTGTTCTTGCACCCATGACCAGATGCAGAGCTTTGGACGGAATACCCCAGCCAGCTAACGTCGAATACTACAAGCAGAGATCCACACCAGGCGGATTCCTGATATCCGAAGGCACTACCATCTCTCCGACAGCCGCCGGGTAATTTCGTAATTTCACTGTCTTCAAGTGCCATTAATTCAGTCAAGATTCTAACATGTTAAAGGGCCCACAGACCCATGATCTGATGATCCACTGCCCGATTTTTCTTGGACGGTGATAGTACTTTGTTGCTTTATATTAATATAGAACTGATGTTTGGGAATTGGATGGGACCATCTCCAGTTTTCCGCATTGCCCAGGGATCTACACCCACGATCAGATCGAAGCGTGGAAGAAAGTGGTGGATGCCGTCCACGCCAAAGGCAGCGTTTTCTTCTGTCAACTGTGGCACGTTGGACGAGCATCCAATCAAAGTAAGTAAAATATTATCCTGAACGTAGTCACACGGAGTTGTTCCCTGCTTCAAACTCATTTGTATTCTATCTACCCTCTTCCCTTCAGTCTATCAACCGGGTCGGACCGCTTCTCCGATCTCGTCGACCAACAAACCAATTTCTGGTCGGTGGAGAATCCTGATGCCGGATGGAACCTATGGAAGCTATGCTAGGCCTCGAGCCCTATCAACCGTTGAAATCCCGGAGATCGTCCAGCAGTACCCCCAGGCGGCCCTAAACGCCATCCAAGCCGGTCAGTATTCACACCATAACCCATTCAGTATATTTAATCTGAGTTTAATTTGTTAGTGTATAATATTTTGATTATTTTAATTTAATTTACTAATGATATTCGATGTATGAATTGGATATCGGCATTATCGTTATGGCTGCAAACGTTATCCATTTACCCAAATAGTTTAGGGTTCATCCAAGCCATATAAATCAATCAGGCCGGGTCGGCTTGGGTTCATGTAGGTTCAGCAAAGTCTATACCCTAACCTAAAATACAACCAACAATATAGAATTTTTTGATGAAAATACCATTTAAGGCAAAAATAGCAAAAACATAGATGGTAGTGTTAGAGATGTTGATCCGTTAAATAATAAAACATGCTTATGTGGGGCAATTTAAGTCAAAAAGTTTGGGAAATTATAGCCCACTTTACGCTTAAAGTTTGAAAAGGCCACTTTAAATGTTAAAAAATATATTAGTTAGAAGATAAATTTTATCACCTTTAAATAAATTACTATAAGGATTTTACCAAATTAGAGTCATTAATTTAATATAGTAAATAAATAACAATAATTAAGAGTAAAATATTACTTAAACACTAAATTAGTTTAAGTAATAGTAAATTAACACCATACAAGCAAATTGATTGTATTGTTATGGTGTTAATTAAAGTTTCAAATAAGTTATTTTCAATTTATTTTGTTCATGATATATAATATTAAAATCATTTTAATTTATTTAGTTAATAATATATAATTTTTTTTATGATTTTTGGTTTTTAACTTATTATTACTGTTCCATATCAAATTCCAATTTGAATTAGATTCGAATCGGATAGAAATCCAAACATATAATTTCAATTTGGATCTACCAAATGAATCAAATTTGGATCTATCAATATCCCATTTAATCCGATCCATTTGCTGCTCTAATTATCATTTCCATATGTAAACCCTAATGCTGAATTCTTTATTTAAGCTTGTTCGATTGATGAAGCATTAAACTGACCAGGTTTTGATGGCATTGAGATCCATGGGGCACATGGGTACCTTATTGACCAATTCCTCAAGGATGGGATCAATGAGCGAACCGATGAGTACGGTGGGTCAATCACAAACCGGTGCAAGTTCTTGATGCATGTGGTCCAAGCGGTGGCAACTGCCATTGGTCCAGACCGGGTTGGGGTCCGGATCTCACCTGCAATTGACCATCTAGATGCCATGGATTCCGATCCGCTCAGCTTAGGACTAGCCGTGATTGAGAAGCTTAACAAGCTCCAGCAAGAATGGGGCAAGAAGCTGGCTTATCTCCACATGACTCAACCCCGGTACACGGCTTACGGCCAGACGGAATCAGGGCGGCACGGGAGCGAGGACGAGGAAACGCGGTTCATGAGAGCGTGGAGGAGGGCTTACGAGGGCACCTTCATCTGTAGTGGTGGGTTCACGAGGGAACTGGGTGTGGAGGCTTTGGCTCAAGGGGATGCGGATTTGGTGTCGTATGGGCGTCTCTTTATCTCGAACCCGGACCTTGTTGAAAGGTTTAAGGTGGATGCGCCCTTAACTAGGTATGTTAGGGCTACATTCTATACCCAGGATCCTGTTATCGGGTATACGGATTACCCGTTTTTAGGGCAAGGACAGGGGAAGTACCAACGGATATCTCGCCTCTAATTTGCTACTATGGAGATGGCTGATGATAAGTTGTAGTGTTTGGAAAGACTATGATGTTTGTAATCCTTGCATATGGTTGTAATATTTTTGTAAGAGAATTCAATTATAAGAGGTTGTAACAGGAATTTGGGTAATTCTCAAACTAAGGGGATATGGGTGGGTGGATTTACAGTAGAATGGGTAAGTGTATTATAGTTGATGCAATATGGCACGTATTGGCGTTTTGGGCTTCCTTGAAACCTTAGTTATGATTCATTGAGAATCCTCTGATTCCACTTCTCTTCTGTTTGTCTTTCAATTTAAAAGTAGTCATGCAATTCAAGGAATTCCAATTCCTTGGTTGAAGGCTCTCAGACTGTCCTATCCGACTATGAGGAATTGTCCCCCTTTTCATTTTTACAAGAAAAAAAAAAGAAAATTCGAAAATTCCTATTCCCAGAATCTGAAATAATACATGTACATGAGTTAGGGTTGCAGCTCAGTTCGGCCCGAATAGCGCATTTTACACTGCAAGAATCTCTTATTCCGTGGAGCGTGTAACGATCATCATGAATTGCAAGAATCTCTTCTCACACCTTCCCTACTATTTAGTTATATTTGTTCCTACGTCTTACGTCTTATAATTGGGTTAATCATAAAGCGTTCAGGTTTGCTCTCTCTTATTATTCACTAGTGGGGACCCGTGCGATATATGAAATTTATTAAATCAAAGCCAAATAATGGAAATGGTCATTTATTAAAATATCTTTTATAGTTTTATAGATTTACTAAAATCTACCCTATAATTAAAATTTTACAAAAACACCACTTATAATTTACAATAAATTTAATCAATCTTCCATTAAATGATAGTGAAAAATGACAGTGTTGATCCTAATGTACTTTTAATCAAAAAGGAAAAAAAATAAAAATACCATTTTTGCCCTTTATTACACACGGGCAACCATTCTATTAGGTATATTTGGTTAATTTTGTTTTCTGTACAAAAAAAAAAAAAAACGTTGATGGTATTTTTGGAATAAAAAATCATGGGCCTAATGGCAAAACAAACACTCCTTAATGAAATGTTGATTAAATAAATAAGTTGTAAAATATATGGGATGTTTTAATGAAATGAAAAAGTATAATGTACGTTTAAGTAAATATGTAAAACTATAAGATGTGTTCTAGTAATTGACCCTAATAGAATCACATAAGAGTATACAATTGTTTTATATTTCCAACTTTTTAAATAATTAATAATTATTCAAATTTTATATACTATTAATAAATTTTTTATAATACAAAAATAACAATAATTAATTTTAGTTAGGTTTATTCATCAAATTGATGAAACCGACCAACCCGATCAACTCGACCCTAGTTAGTTGGTTTTCTAGTATTTTAGGTCAGATTTGGTTCAAAAATTTTCAATTCGACCAAGTTGGATAAATTTTACTTTGGCCATTTGTAAAACAACCAAAATCGAACAACCTAGCCATAAATATATATTAATATTTTATATTTTAAATATAATTTTTAATATAAAAAAGTAGGAAATTTCCCATATTTCTTAGTCTAAAATGTTTTATATTATAAATCTAATTTTTAAAATTAAATGTAATTTTTAAGTTTAAATCTTTTGAACCGATTGACCAAACCAAAAAGCTGACCCAAATCGATACAACTTGAGTGGGTTGGTTTTCACAAAAAGGTAAGTCGGTTTCAACTAACCAACTCCCCAACCTGACCAGGTCAATTTGGTTAGCCAAATAGCCTACAATCGAACCAAACCAACTCATAAAGACTCATAATTTTAAATAAATTAATAGTCTCATCTATGATAAATAATAATAGTTTAATCTCCAATAATTATAAAAAATTTATAGCAAAAATACACAATTATTGAAAATATATTGATAATGAAAAAAATACAATAATTACAAAAAGACAATAAGTACTAAAAATATATTAACTTAGTCAATAAATAGTATAATCTCAAATAATAGTTTAATTGCTAATAAATATTAATCAATAAGTTATAACAAAAATACAATAAATACAATAAGTACAACAAATTAAATTTAAAAATTTCACTAATAGTAGTTTAATCTCCAATAATTATTGAAAGTTTTCTATTAAATTACAAAACAAAATAAATTTATACATAATCTTTGAAAATAGATTTATGACGACAAACAATAAATAATTACTGAAATACAATAAATATTAATTTTAGTATATATAATTATATAATAAATACATATTAAGAGTTTAAATTATTATTCATAAATGTTATTTTTTGAAAGTTATTTTCTCGAATTATTACTTGATATAAGTGAAATTATTTATTTACAATATTATGTAAAAATATTAAATTATTCTTAATTTTAATATTATGTTATAATTATTTTTTCAACTTTTCAAAAAAAATTTTAAATTTATTACCTAATTTCTTTATTTTAACAATTTAAAATCTAGTTATGTTAAATATTTTGTTATTTAAAATACCCAGTCATTTAAATAATTAAATAGTATGTAAAATATTTAAATTTTAAAATATTAGTTATTTATGGAATTTAATTTTGTAATATATTAAATTATTATTAATTTCAATACTATGCTATAATTTTTTTTCTGCTTTAAAGAAATTTTTTAAATTTATTACATAATTTCGTTATTTTAATGATTTAAAATCTAGTTATGATAAATATCTAGTTATTTAAATATTTAAATAATCTATAAATTATTTAAAATTTTTTGTTATTTTAATTTTATTTATTGGAAGATATTACATATTATTAAATGTTTGAAAAAATATTTAAATTGATGATCCAGAAAAACACAATTTAAATTGTTAGTACATAATTTCGTGACATATTTTGTAAAAATATAAAATTATTTATTAGATAATTTCGTTATTTTAACTATTTAAAATATAGTTATGATAAATATTTAGTTATTTAAATATTTAATTTTTTTGTTATTTGAATTTTATTTATTTAAAGCTATTACATATTATTAAATATTTGAAAAGCATTTAAATTGATAATCCAGAAAAACATAATTTAAATTGTTAGTACATAATTCCGTGATGTATTTTGTAAAAATATAAAATTATTTATTAGATAATTTCATTATTTTAACTATTTAAAATATAGCTATGATAATTATTTAGTTACTTAAATATTTAAATAATCTATAAAATATTTAAATTTTTTGGTTATTTGAATTTTATTTATTTAAAGCTATTACATATTATTAAATATTTGAAAAGCATTTAAATTGATAATTTAGAAAAACATAATTTAAATTGTTAGTACATAATTTCGTGATATATTTTGTAAAAATATAATTTTTTTGTGTTTTTAATAAATATTTTAAAGTTATTACATAATTTTGTTAGAATATTTAAATAATTCTTAAATTTTCTAATCCAAACTTTCTTTAGATAGATATAGATAAAAAGTAGGGGAGAGGATAAGTAGGCCTATTAATTATTAAAATTAATATGAGTAAAATTATTTTAATAATTAATGTTAAAGTAACATGTCATGTTTTAGTAAAATGCAAATGATAACATGTAATGTTATCCCGTGGTGCGTGTAACAATCATCATGAATTGCTAGAATCTCTTCTCACACCTTTACTATTTAGTTATATTTGTTCCTACGTCTTACATCTTATAATTGGGTTAATCATAAAGCGTCCAGGTTTGCTCTCTCTTATTATTCATTATGAATAGACCTGTTCATGGGCTGGGCCAGGCCGGGCTCGAGCCAGGCTTTCACTCTATATTAATAGATTTTTCTATGGCCCGAGCCCGAGCCTGGCCTGACCATCGGGCCTACAACTTGGGCCCGAGCCTGGCCCTCATAAAAAGCCCAAAGCCCGGGCCTGGGCCCGAGCTCGAAATTTATCCCATGTTGTTACTATTGCTGAAGCGGCTGAATAGAGAGAGGGAGAGAAATTATAAAGAAAAAAATAAAAAAAAATGTATATATTAAATTATAAATATATATATATTTCAATAAATATTATATTATTTATATATTTCATATAATATATAAAATAAATATTATGTATTTTATAAAATATATAATGTTGAGTCGGGCCGGGCCGGACTTTTTTGACAAATCCCGAGCCCGGCCCGTAACACAGTCAGGCTTACTGTGTTAGGCCCGCGGGCCTAATTACATGACCAAGCCCGACCGAGGTGCGGGCCGGGCCATCGGGCTACCCGGCCCATGAACAGGTCTAATTATGAACCTAGTCCTTACCTCCTAGCTTTCCTGGTTCTAATTTTTAATTCTGAGTTGAAAAATTAGGCATAAGATAAAAACAAAAACTCTCAAAAAATCAATTGCAATTCTTAGCTTAAATTAAACTGGGAGAGAGAGAGAGAGGAGTCTATATATGGATCTAGGTACCCATAACTTTGCCACCTCTACCAGGATTTGATCATGGGTAGGGGTGTCAATTAGACTCGATTTGGTCCAATCTGATCTAGTCCAATGTGATCCCATTATACCATTCAATCTGTTCAAATTTGTTTTGATTTAGATTGGTTTCAACTCAAACCTATTCCATTGACACCTATATTCTTATCTTATATCAATGGACCAGATATTGGCTTAATCCAACTCAATCCAATATAAATTTATTATGGACAGAACAGGTCCAATCCAATATAATAAATATTTTGGACCGGATTGGTCCAATCCAATATGTCTTGTTGGTCCATCCAGTCCATCCAAATTGATTTTAGACTAGATGGGGTCCAATCCAAAACCAGTTCATTGAAATCATTAATCATGGGGCCTATCATCAAATGGATTCTACTTGGAAGATCAACAAACGCCAAGCTGACTTTTAGGATGTCTTTGGTTTGATAGTAAAGGTAGAGAAGGGAAATGTATACTTGTTTCAAACCAAATATAGCCTTAACGTAAACATTATTTCAAACGAAATGTATACTTTTACAGAGATATTTTCATAAAAATAAGAAGAAGAATACATTTCTAGTCACACTTAGATCGGTGTGGGATTTTTATTTTATAGATCCAGACTGCTTTAATAGATGCTATTTGGGAGTTTGACTTTGATCGAACTCTTCTTGAGTTTGAATCTGATCTGTCTCTCTTTCCTCTCCTAATGCTAATTCTAATCTCCTTATCTCATTATCTTCTTGTTGTACTCTATCTAGAACTCTCAAAGGGTCATATTGTAATCATGTTTGCTAACTCTATAAATACATAAAGGGTCGGTCTGCTATGATTACCCATTCATCTTGAGTTTAT